AGCAGTCGAGCCGGATTAAATTCCATATTTGTTTAAATTCATATTGGCTACCACAATTCACTTGGCACTCCAATTGTGCCTATATCCAGAACATTACAATTTTGATACTGTACCGATAGAAGCGATAGTAACAGCACATACGTAGATGATTTCAGCAAAGCGTCTCATAAGGATGAAAGCATAAGCGAAAAGAGAAAGAGTGTCGCAGCACTTCAGAGCAAGAAGGGAGGGGGTGAAAGTTTTGGTTTACAATTATTTTGATTGGGCAAGAGATATCACGTTAAGGGTTACGTAAGATCGCTGATTAATTTGAATGATGCAGTTTAGACTTTAGTGGTATTTTTAAGACAAAGAGATAAAAGTCCCCAAATTGAATAAATAACAAAAGAGGTTATAGCCAATTAAATTTAGAAGTTCCCTTTAATATTTTATATCTTACACACACACACACACACACACATATATATTGAAGAGGATGAATACAGATTGCGTAGAATACTGAAAATGCCGATCCACAATGAATCAGAAATTAGGCAGTCGAGGTAGATTTAATTCAATTTTTGTTTAAATTCACATTTATAGCCACAGTTCACTTGGCACTCTAATCGTGCCGATTTTCAGAACATTTATATTTTTGAATACAATTGCGACAGGAACAGAACACAGCGAAATGACGTCCAAGCAGCAACAGAGTAACAAGCGAAGTAAGTATTTATCCAATATGGCAGCTCACCAAAGAAGAAGGTTTTGGTTTTTTAAAGGTTTCAGTTCTCAGAGTTTAGGTTCTGAAATAAATACGTTATCAGCGTTACGCAAGTATTGCATCATAGATTAATCTAGAAATGACGCAGTCCAGAAACGTTATTATTAATTTTAGAATAAAGAGGAAATAACACCAGATTAAAAATGATAAATTAAGAGGCTATTATTAAATTAAATCATATTACATATTTTTTATCTTACATATTTACTGTCTTACCCGACTCCTTGACAAGATAAATATATGTGATGTACCACCTTTAGTCGTAACTTAAATTATCAGACGTTAAGTTAAAAAAAAAAAAAAAAAAAAACAGGATCCATTTATTATTATTCAGGAGAAATAGCAGTTACAAAATCAGATATCCGGAGTAAATAAAAAGAATTACTAATAACTTTTTGTATGAAGTTTACTGCATCGTGACATTTAAGAAAAAGCCCCCGATATTCTTTTGCGAGTCCTTTTATAGCCTCTGGAAAGGCGGAGCTTCCAAGAAATGACGTCAGCCAATCCAGTTCGCTTTAAATATTTCCAGAACATTCTAAAACTGTGCGTGTAGAAAAGGCTGGAAAAACACCTTGACTACGGGGCTGTGGATTTAATTCCACGTACTTTCAAATAAGAGAACGTCGCCATTAAAAATGAAAAAAACATACAGTTAGAATTTTAAGTGTATTCTTGACTATGGAATTTTATTATTACATATACATATATATATATACGTTTGATGTGGCCGATTGAAACTAAAACGGGAGGTGCACAACTATATGTTATAGCAGTTCCATATACAAAATTTCTACGGCTACTCGGTTTTGAGTTATGCGAGATATATACGTACGTACCGAAAGAATCTCTTCTGTATCCATTTTGAGCCCATTTTACAATCTGTTTTGAGAAAAGAGTCCTTTATTCTGTCGGTACGTACGGAGTCAGGCAAAAACATCACTTAAATGGATTCGAGAGCCGTCAAAATGGATATTTTCGTTGAAATATGATACCCCAAAAGTTTTGCGATTACAATACTTCTTTACTTCCTTCCTTACTTAATCTAGTTTTTACTTCCTTTAGGAAGTTTTTACTTCCTTTAGTTACTTTAGTAAAAACTAGATTGATCTCTGAGCATCTACAAATCGTGATGAAGATTGTTTCAATTAAATTTTCTCAAAATTTCCTCAAAATCGAACTGACCATGCGATGTTATAAGTGAAAGCTGTATGAAGAGAGAGAGAGAGAGAAGTTTATGATTATTTACATACAAATATAAGGAAATTTTCTGCATATAGGAAAGAAACATTTAGTTAGTAAATAAATGAGAATAGGTTATTTCCAATTATTATTTATTCCCAAGCTTTGTTTCACTCGCTAAGCTTTCGTAATTTGTTTATTAGTTGAAATAAAATATTTAACGGTTAATTCAATAGTTTAGAAAAATTTGAAACAAATTTCAGCCCCGAAAATTTAATATTTAGCTGTCAATACGATTGAATTACCATGCGTAACCAACAGAAATTTTTTTCCAGGTACCAACCTTGAGATTCTAAGACAGAAAATGACTATTAATTGGAATCTTTTCTTTTGTGTTGCTATCAGTATTGCACATGTATGTTTTCATAAATGTTTAGCAAATAAAATTTTAAATTTAGTTAAGAATGTTTTAATTAAAAAACTTTTCATTTTGTTAAACAAATTTCTGCCCGTCAGTTGCTTTTAAACCATGCATCATTTGGATCACATGGAATTTGAGTTTGAGTCTAGTGTTTCAGAGTACCTACCTGCTTTTAAAAACTTTTAAAAAAGGTATCAGAAATAGTTTAACAGTCAAAGAATTTTTGTTAAAGATTTTTACGCTTTGCTTGTACTGTACCAGACTGCTATTGTGCTCATTTCTACTAACTTTACTTTTCAGAACTATTTCCTCCGTACTAACGTCATATATGATTCAACAGCGAAATTACAAAAGTTTTAAAAGCAGCATATGTTTAAAACTCCCGATTCAGTGTTAAGTGTTGGCATACATTTTCCTATTTTTTTTCAGTTTTTACTCAGTTCATCATATCAACGTTCAGTTTTCGTACTAAGATAGCTTACAAAATATTTTTTGTGTCTTTTTACTTCCTCGTACGAAGTAATGGAAGTATCGTAATCACGAAAAATTCCGGTTACCATTTGACCATTTTGATCGCTATCAAATGCAATTTAACGATGATTTTGTGTGACATCTGTACATAAGGGCAGAATAAAGGACTCTTTTTTTTTCCCAAACAAATTATAAAACTGATTTAAAATGGAATCAGAAGAAAATTTTTCGACGTACAGACGAATTTTTCTTATTCTTATATATGTTGGTAAATTGAGCATTTATTGCTTTAAAATAAAATAATTGAGTTATATTGTTCTTATCTTCCGGTTAAGGTTTTTATGCCTTTAGTTAATCTGCATGCAATAGTTGTAAAATTATCAACAATTTAAAAGTTGGTTAAGTGCGGCTAAGCCTGATTTTTGTTCACCATAGCAGACATATTTGTTTACATTTTAAACTTAGCAGAATAGTGAATCCAGTTTCTGCACCTTCAGTGTCTTTTTGCCGAGTGAGACCAAAATTAAACTTTCATTTTCGTGCACCGAAAAATCTGCGTAGTTGCCTGCGGGCCGAATTGCTTCTTTTTGCGTAGAAATTCTAATTTTAGTTGTAAAAATGGTTTTTTCTTGATTAACTGTATTTGGTGTTTTGTTTTTTTTTCCTATATTTTTCAATTTTTAACGAAAATATTTTGAGGTTTTATGCATTTTTGCCTTTCCGCGAACTGAGAACAGAATTGATTAAATGAGAAATATATCTCTAATGAAATTCGAGGAAATAAGTTTAGATATAATGCAGCAAAAGGTGCATATAATTTAATATTCCGTACAAGGAAGTCCTGTCGTGTACACATCAGATTTATTAGACATTAAGTTCTTCGCACTTACTTGACATAAACTTCAATTCAACAGCAAAATCACAAAATATTTAAAAACAGCACATATTTAGAATTTTCGATAGACAGTCTCGCGGGCTGGAGGTAAAAACGTTTTATTCCGTACTGCGATGCACCTGCTCACTTCGAAATCGTTGAGTCTGTGAATCAAAAGTTCCTTAAAGTTTTAGAAAACATGTAATATAAAATTCGAAATTCAAAATCCAGGTTTCGAGGTGCACATCTTCGGGTGGTGGACAACAATGTGATTCAAAATTTAATGGCTTTAGGTTAATAATAAGCTTTTTTGTATATTTTTTATAACGCAAAGGAATTACATACATGCAGATTCTTTGCTGTTTAATTTCTTTAAAGATAATGCAGAGCAAAAGTATTTGGTGGCAACAAATTAAAAAGTGATTTGCCGTTTGTAGTGGACGACGCAAAATTCCGTTTAGATAAAATATTTAACCATTTATTCGATGCTGCGTATTAAAACCAAAAAATTATTGCTTTTAATTACTATTAATTAAATAACAAAGATAAACACGTATGCGTTATTGAAGTTTTTACATACAGATTTGGCATAGCTCTCTGATTTTTCTGTTTTACAGGAAAGAATTCGGCATTAACCCTTTTGTAAACATTTGTATTTTTCAGCGTTCTCATTTCGAAGCTTATGAAATCTTTTTATTTGCAAAACGTTTATCAGAAGGATTTTTTTTTGTGTCGAAATAAATATAAACTATATGAAATAAACAATTAGAATTTAATTTCTTATTGATTACAGATGGCTAAGGCTACCCCGATATTGCTTGGAGTATTTGAAGTAATTTTTCTTTACATTTCGTGTACCCCATTTTGGAATTAAATAAACATATCTAAATGAAGCTTCCGGAGTGTGAAAACGGTCACTGCGGAACATAAAATAAGATACATACCACTCAAATTACATGTTCTCACCGACCTCACTTCATAAATTTCGATTAAAAAATAGCTAAATTATAGGTCACTGATATCTTAAATTACCACTCACTCTTAATCGATTCTTTTCGGCTGGAGAACATTTCCATTAAAAGTTCCCTGAGGCTAAAGAATAAACAAATGAACGATATTTTCTCTAGAATCCTAGTTTCATCTTTTTTCGTCTCGTGCCTTTTTCCCACTCGTTACTTTGCTCGCAACCGTGACGGCTGAGGTGATGGTCATTGGTTCTCATAGTTTTTTGATGAGTGACGTCACGCCCAATAAAAAATTCTGATATGAGACAACTATAAAAAGCTGGAAAAGAGTTATAAATTTGAAGTAGAGAGGGAAACCGGTTGCTTTGATAGCATGTAAGTGGATTTTATTGATTTATCTTTATTAAATCGACTGTTTTGTGTAATAATTAGAAAAATGGTTTACTTAGCGCATTGCGATCAGGATATTTGAAACAGGCGAGATTCAATTAATCGAAAATTATTCATTTCATTCGTTGGATTACTAAAAAACTTGGCTATTTCGAAGGAACTAAAAGCTGAAATCTCAATTTAGGAAAGGTTATGTTAAACAATGGCTAATGTATTGCGCATAATTAACATAAGTACTTTAAATAATTATCTCTTTACAAACAATAGTACAATTGCATTATGAAGAAATTGTATTGTAACATACTTAGAGGGAAAAATAAGTATTTTACCAATTAGTTTTTTATTCTAATCTTTCTAAGGAAAAATAAAATTATGTTTATAGACTTTCTCTTCTGCAGTTCGTTTTCAATTATACTAAATTTAACTAATAAATACATAGTTTGTTAGATGTAATTTACGTAACGCAGTTAAAAAAATACAGCTTAAGTGCTTTTGCAATTTTAAAAATTTATAAACTGCGTATTATGGAAAAGGAAAAGAAAACAATGTTGGTAGGAAATTGTTATATTTTTCTTCTATACAAAATGCATGCACATATTTGTTTCGAGTTTCAGTTATTACCTTTCTTTTTCTTGTATTGCAAGGCAGTTTGCATTATTATGTTATACTAACTGATTTTGTATTTAAAAGTTTGAACTACGTTTCTCATTTATTATCTCATTCATTTAAAAAAAATTCTGTCTTATATCGATTTTCAAGTTTAGGTTTCTTGAATCTGTTACTTTTATTAAAGAAAACTTACTTTAAATGTATATGTTTTTTTATGATTTCGATCCGGATTGAGAACTTCTTAATTTAAAATCTCAAAAAATGTAATAATGTCGTCAAGCAATCACCAAAAAATGTAATAATATTCTCATTGCAGTCTCCCATTTTCATATTAAAATTTTTATTTCCTTGCGAGTCTTTAAAGAAATTAATTTTTAGTTAATTAATTATTTATGGTTTTGACTGATGCAGAAGCTTTCATGAATATACAGTTGGGAATATTTTCCAAAGGGACGAATAAGTTCATCTTCGCATGTAAGATGCACACATAAAATTTTCAACGTTAGACTAACTCATATTTAATAAGCTTCTTTCCCTGATTTCATGTATGTAACGCAATAAAATTTCCATTTCATTTCATTAACTTATTATACGATGCAATGCGAAAATTAACCGAATTTTCTGCTACTTAAACTGTCATCCGTTTGACCCCAGACTCCACAAAAGCTTTAATAAAGAAACAATACTCATCAAAGATTTTAAATAAAGACGTTTTTGTTTACAGCATATAATTCTACTAGAGAAGTTGAGAGAATCCTTCATTTTAGTATTTAAATTTAAAGAATGGTCTTTTTATAAAACAATAAATTGAAATTAAGTATTAATGACATTTACAAATTGTATTACCCACACCTCGTTTGAACTTATGTAAAGCTAACGTGCTTCTATTTAAATAAACACTTAGCAAGCGGACGATAACTCTTATACTCCTTTTTCTTTCAAAATTGACTTTTATAAGTTTTTGAGCATATTAAGTTTTTTTTTAATTATTTAGATCTTAGTTAAATTATTCATTAACGTTAAATATTCAGACAGAAACTAAAATTTATAAAAAAAAAAAAAAAAAAAAAAAAAAAAAAAGTAAAATCTGACAGGTTTCAGATTTTAACGGTCACCCAAAAGGGCTTGTTAATGTTTTTCACGCTCTCTCTGAACTCGTAGCTTACCACTCTGCTCTTATTAACTAAGCGTAATTTTCTTCGCAGTTACGCCGTATACAATTCAACAGCAAGGTTACAAAAATTTTAAAAGCAGTCTAGCAGTATACGCTTAGAATTCCCGATGCAGCGTTAAGCCATTGGCATACATGTTCCTTTTTTTTTCTTTTTTTTTTTAAAAATCTTTTCTCAGTTCATCGTATCAATATTCAGTTTTCTTACTAAGATGGTTTTACAAAATTTTTTTGTCTTTTTTATTATTAATGTTTTAAATGTTTACTTTATTTATTAAATATCACGTTCAAGGCGGTTATCAAATCGTGCTTGCATGTCCCTATGTTCGGATGTATGACTACGTTATTCAAAATTGGATGGCTCTACGCACGGGCGTTTTTACAATGCTAGAAGCCTGCATCCATTCATACACATTCTTAATTATTTAATTTCTTTAAATATAATACAGAGCGATAATTGTGGTGGCAACAAGCTGAAAAGCGATAAGCTGTTTATAGTGATTCAACGGAAAATGCCGTTTCGAGATTAATATCCCAATCAGAACTAATGTCCCGTTTAAGCTAATAAATGAGAATATATTTTCTCCAGTTCACTCACGCTATTTCAGTATTTTCCTAATTATGAACTATGGTATTTATTTGGAAACACTTTTTGGTAATAATTTAAAGGCTCCTACAGAAACGACATAAATAGTCAGTATAATCTGAAGCAAAATAATTTTAAAAAAATCTGATGTGTACACTACATGACTTCCTTGTACGGAATATTAAATTATACGCATTGTTTTCTTGAGTTTCATTTAAATTGATTGGATTGAATTAAATCTACTTCGTTGACAGCGCATAAACCACAATAGAATAAATGCACTCTTTAAAATTCACTATATTTGTTTACTATAACGACACTCTGAATGCACAAAATTTATATCATTTGAAGAATTATCGTTGCCACATGTTCTATTCAAATACTATAATAAAGCTAAAACGATGTATGAAAGAAATTAAGCAAACAAAACAGAAAAGAAACAGTTTTTCACAGACGATTTAGTATTTCTCATTCAATTAATTCAGTTCTCACTTCGCGACAAGGCAAAAATACATAAAAACTCAAAATATCTGCATTAAAAATTACGAAGTAATCTTAAACACTTACTTCCTCGAAAAAATTCCAGAAAGCATTAAGCATGATTTAATTCGCAATAATAAATGAAGGCGTTATTTATGTGTTGCGAAGCTTAGTCTCTCTAGATTGGCAACAAATCTGCAATTCTGCTGTTTCAAATGTAAACGAATATGTCCGCCATGTTATTTAAAACTTAACCGCACTTTTAAATTGTTGATAATTGTACAAATATTGCTTCCAGAATTACGAAAGGATATAAAACCTTAACCGGAAGATAAAAACAGCATAATTCAATCATTTTTAAAGCAAAAAATGTACAATTTTCAAACATATAAGAGCAAAGAAACTGAGATCACTGAGCCGGGTAACAGAGTGTATATATATATAAATATATTTATATACGTTTGGTGCTGCCGATTGCAACCGAAATACGAGGTGCACATCTACATGTTACAGCAGTCCTATATACAAAATTTCAACGTTCTGAGGCTACTCGTTTTTGAGTTATGCGAGATACGTACGTACGTAAGTACGTACTTACACACGCACGTATATACGTTCGTACAGACGCCACGAAAAATTCTCTTCAGAATTAATTTTAAAGCAGTTTTATAATTTTTTTTGAGGAAAAGAGTCTTTTATTCTGTCTTTACGTACAGATATCACGCAAAAACATCGTTAAATTGCATTCGATAGAGGTCAAAATGGATATTTTCGTTGAAATATGTTGCCTGAAACTTTTCGCGATTACAGTACTTCCTTTTTACTTCGTACAAGGAAGTAAAAAGATTAAATTTGTAACTTAATGAAGTTTGAATAGGACTAACTTCGTTCTGAATGAAAATATATTAACTATTTTATAATAATGCATTAATGTGATTTTGCGTAGCCTCAAGTTTTATTGGGAAAAGAAAGAAGATATTTTTAGTATTAAAAATATTTTTAGTACTTACAGTTTTATGCACTTAACGCTTATTTATTGTCTTATACTTTAAAGCATCTGATGATTTTTATGGAATTTAAAATACCTTTCAAATCTCGATCTACAAAACGTTTCCCATTAAATGCTATTCCATTTCCAGAACGCAAAAATAGTTTCAGAATTTGAAGTAAATTTTAAATTTCGGCTCAAGAATTTCAAATTCATTTATCTTAAAATCGTTAAAAACGTTTTTCCTCTCTCTTTGATACCGTTTTGAAAATTTTGAAAAATATGTATGTGTCTTACATAAAATTTAATATTTTATAAGTATTAAATAATACATAAATGCAATTAAATACTTAAATAAGGAACATAAAATAATTTATATTCCACAAACTGCGCAGTAACTGTGCAAAAACTCATTTAAAGAGCATTTTTTAAATATCCCTTGAAATATTCATAAGTAGTGTTATGATGATAAGGTTTCACTAAGCCGAAGATGAGACATAAGTTAGTGTTATTGACATAAGAACTGTCTGAGAGCATTAAGGGAAGGGCGCACTGTAGTAATTTTTAATAATTTAATTTGAAATGAAGAGAACATTTTTAATAGGAGGTCATATTTCAGAAATGCGGGATTTCTGGGTGTACAGTGAGGCAAATACAGTAGTAATAAAAATAAATATTAAATAAAACTATATATGTAATAATAAAAAATGAAAATAAGTATATAGTTATATAAAAAAAGAATTAATTTATGTGGGTTGTAAAAGTTGTTATATGTTCTAACAATTTGCTTTGTTATTGCGAAAATATTTACGAAAAAATATTGCTATAGCACAGAGTTTCTTAAACTGTAGGTCGCGACCCCCATGGGGATCGCGGGACCTGCACCAGGGGGTCGCCAAAAATTTTAACAGTTTTGATATTTCTTTAACTTATTATAATAATTTTACAATTACCCAATATTTTTACACAATGTATCTCAAAATAGATAAAGATAAGAAAATACAGACAAAGAAAAAACAAAAACATTTCGACACATTCTTTTTATAATATAAGCATTCATTTTACTTGCTTTGCACATGACACTGTTCATTTCGTCTGTTACTTATTTAAAATTTTCACATTGTTCTATGTCTTAAAATTAGACATTACAA